TTTTTTTAAAAGAACAAAACATTTTGGCTACATGGGACACTGAGGAGTTTCACGTGATTAATATGTATTATTGTTCTATAGCATGGTCTTCAGCTGCAGAATGGGGGTTCCTTGATGTGGGGAGGGTAAAGTGCAAGAAGTAAAGGTTAACCCCAAATGCCTGGCTTAACTTTTCTTTTTTCCCCCCTCTTCAAATATTGCTAGATTTCTTTTTTTTTAAATAAGTTTTTAATTGTGAAAATACTGCACAGAGGGGTTACCGTTACATGAGCAAGGTAATGAGTACATTTCTTATTAGCATTGTTGCCTCCTCCTCTAAGCCCTTTCATCTACCAGGTGCCAACAGACAGGGGAGTAGACATACATGCAGGACAACAGTGGGTCATGTTGCAGGTGCCTGGGATTGTGGACCTGTAAGGCAGCGTGGACAGGAAAGGGTTAAGGAGAGTGAATATGGCTGAAACACTTTATGCACATGGGTGAAAATGGAGAAGCGAAGAGATTTGTTTGAGAAGAGATTTGTTTGGGAAATGGGGATAAAGGAGAGTGAGGAAGTCATAGGGCTCATCGAGGTACACTGTATAATGGAGATGTCAAAACAAAACCCCTTTGTGCAACTAATGGAGGGTAATAAGACTACTTAATATAAAAGGCTGGTTGGCTCTCTTTTAGCCTAGGCTTCTATTGTTTGGATCACTAATCTTTCTACCTGCTTCAGTGAGGGAGTTATGAAGCTCCAAGCGGACCAGCATATGTCAAAGACAATTGTGAATTAGAAATGGATGTGCAATCATAGATATGTATAGTTGATCATTGATTTGACTGCATATGGAATAACATTATGGATATGTTGTACAGAATTGAAAAATAAACTGATATGAATAAGGCATTGATGTTCTCTAATTTGCAATCCACAACTTTTTTTTAGTATATATGTTTTATTGTAAAGATACTGTACAGAGGGGTTACAGTTACATGAATAAGGTAATGAGTATATTTCCTATTGAGTATTGTTACCTCTTCCTTTGTTTTCCCCCTACCATCCTTCCCTCCCCATGCAATCCCAAACTTTCACTTCATTTTTCCAACTCTTACTTAACAAATGTTTTGTTTTTCCTTTGTGTGGTGGGACAAGGCCTTGAGACAAGGTCTTGCTCTGTAGCCCAGGCCACACTTGCATTTACATGTATGTTTTCTTCTCTCCTTCCCAAGATTGTTAAGATGTTGCGGGCGAGTGCATGTTTATCATTGTCATGTGATCAAGGGCAGTCATATGTAGGAGTTCCACACATGTTTAAAAATAGATTTGATTTGAGATGGAATTCTCTGGAGAGAAGTTTGTTCTACAAGGTTTGTTTGTGTTCAATTAGAGCATTTACTAGGCAAGAGGGATCATTTGCTTCGGTGTAACTCAAGAACATAGCCAGGCATGTGGTAATAAGGACTTGTGCTGTGTACATCAGATGAGGGGCTCTGACCATGACCTTTTTCCTGCCTGCCTCAGGGCTAAAGGAGGAGGAAATTAGTAGTGATATAATTATCCAGAGAATGCAGATCTGGGAAGGGGAAAATATTGTGAGCTGTCTAGGTTGCTCTGTGTAGAAAAAGTTAGATGAGTTTATCTCTTTTTTCACCACCGAAGTTTTTCAACATTCTTTTCTCTGGAGCTTTTGGTCTTGTTGATAGGATAAGAGGACTAAGCTGCATGACCTTCAGTTTACCTTCTAGCTATTTTAGTCTGTGTGGAGAGTGATGGTTGTCTTAGTTTTTATTTGGGGTGTGGCTTTGTTTTTAATACATGTATAGAAACTATAACAAACTCTGTGGAGACACTGTGTGTATTCTGTTACCTAGCATGAGCTAGTTAACCTGCTTGCCAGGTAGACAATACTATCCAGACAATATTCAAACAAGTTAGAAGCTGAACACTGGTGATTCTCACCTCTGATCCTAGCTACTTAGGAGGCTGGGTCAGCCCAGGCAGAAATGTCTGTAATACTCTTACCTCTAATTAACCACCAGATAGCTAGAAGCAGAGGTGTGGTTCAAATGGTAGAGTGCCAGCCTTGAACAAAAAGGCTGAGCAATAGTAGGAGGCCCTGAGTTAAAGCTCCTGTGCTAGCACATACATAGCACAAAATGCAAGATAAGAGCAAAGCATGCAAGGAGATAAGATGTAATGCAGTGCTTTAGACTGAGAAGTACAGAAACAGATGAAGACAAAGGAGAAAGGCCACGAAGATGATATAATGCAATAATTTGATCCTAAGAGGTGTTAACTAAGCCTGAAGTTTGATATCTAGATGACAGAGCTTGAATTGCCTGAGCATTCTCATTTGATGATAATGATGATGATGATGATGATGATGATGATGATGATGATGATTTTTCAGTTGTACAAAGGACTTGCCATTTAGCAAAGCAGTTTATGAGTGCAGTATATCTTGATCAGTATCACCCCTTTCAACATTCTTCCCTGTCCCTTCCTTATCATTCCGTCCTTCCTTCTTTTTAATTTTGTAAGATATATATTGGATTCCTGTCTGAATTTTCTCCCTTTTCTCTTCTTCATTTGTTTTCCCCTTTTCTCTTGACCCAACCCTTTCAAATACCTGCTTTGTGATGTCTTATTTTGCTGATCTTGGATTTTTGTCTTTGTAAGAAATTACCCTATTTGAGATCTCCCTCGAATCTACCACATTATAAGAGATGGAGGCCCATGTCCACGAGTGGACAAAGGTGTACCTGCTAAATGTCATCAATGACTTTGGCAGGGAATAAACTATCATGAGGGAAAGGAAAAGAGGAGAAAAACTGGCTCCAGGCTCTGTGAAGGAAGAAAAAGACTGTAATGGAAATAGTTTTATCATTCAGGTTTTCTAAATTGGAGAGGTAGCTTATAGCTGGAGGAATGGGGCTACTTGGCAAGTCGGAACTTCTGAGAATTGCTCATAACTGATAAAAAGATTTATCTCAGCTGTCCAGTGTGGTTTCAAAATGTTTATTAACGAGCTTTAGGAGAGACTTCTTATCTTTGTTGAAAACAGGTATATATTTTAGATGACAGAAGTCTAATCAAGTTTCTTATTTTAAAAACAAGCCCTGAAATTCACTTTTGAAGAAAGGAATGCACCTGGAGATTTGTTTTTATTGTTAGATTCTTGTACTTCTGCACTCTGAATCCTTATGTTTTTCCTTATGTTCTTAGTTGAATTTTCCAATTCTAGGATTTTTCTTTTTTTCAGTATTAAACCATGGAGGAACATCGAAGCTTGGCTTGCCAATACTGCTGACAATTTCTAGGTCAGGGCATTCGCTGTCTGGTGTACTTGTCACTGGTTTTGAATTCCTTTGCACAATGAGCCTTTGTTTAGTCTTGAGGGACCAGGACTCTCCCGTTTTCCATATACTTGAGACATGGTCATGACTGTTGCGCTTTGTGTGGAGTGCTCATATGAGCACTCTCGCTGGGTTTGTCCAATCATCTCTCCATTCCACTGCAAACTGCAGAGGGTCTAATCCATAGTGAAGGACTGGGTTTTCTTTCCCTTCATGTAACATAAAAAACACATTAGTGGTGAGGGACAAATGATGCTTCCTTTTTAGTTTACCTCATTAATTATGGAAGCCTTAAAGGCTGCTTTTGCCTCATTTGTAGCAGGTCATAGCAGGCCTGGCTAGTTAGTTCTTATTCTTTGAAGCTAGAAAAAATCTTTTAAACTTCCTTTGTAAAAACTAAATGCTAGGTATAATTTTATGTGGCACTTACACATTATAGATTTAAATGCTGTCTAGTTTACCTCAAGAACCCAAAATAAATAACTTTTCATTCACCAGAGGAATTTAAATGGTATGTGTGTACAGATGATAACCAGATGAAGTTTAGTACCAGTACTTACATATATGGATGCTTTCTGGGTTTAAGTATCTATTATCTGTTTGTCGTTGTTGTATTATTATTTGCAGTAATGAGGCTTAGAGTGTTATGTTTTTGAATACTCTACCACTTGATCCACACTTTGTCTTTTTGGCTTTCAATTTGTCTTTGAGTTAGGATCTCCTACTAACTTTTTGCTGGGTCTAACTGCAAAAATCCTCTTTCCCTTGCAGCTTGAGTAGCAGGAATCACAAGTATGTATCACAATGTCTGGCCTGCCAATTTATCTATTTTAAAAGTTGATTTTCAAAAAAGAAAATAAGCTTTATGAATTGAAAATTTTACTATAGATATACTATATCCTACCAAAAATGGTGTGTGTGTGTGTGTGTATGTGTGTGTGTGTGTGTGTGTGTGTGTGCTTGCGCATGCACTCACATAACTTTACCCAAAATAATTTCTAGGCTTCTCTTCTTCTGAGTAAAATCATAAACTCTGGACGTGGCAGTAGCTGCACTGTGTTCTTATTTGAAGGAGTAGCTTGTGCCGTGCCTCAGAGAAGCGAGGAGGGTTGTATTCTGGCCTTTGGGAAAGAAGGAATGGGAACTAGTTCTTTCATGTGAATGTTATATCTGTGTTCTTCCAAGTTCTTAAGCCCTATGGGATGGGCAGTGAATCACTCTTGGGTTTAGCATTAAACAGTGTGTTTTGAGATAATATAGCTTTATAGAGAAGTTGCAAGATGAATTTATATTTTCTCAGGGAGGAAACAGAATGAGTTAATGAAATATGAGTCCTTCATATTCTAATAACAAGGTACTTGCTTAATAAATGTATATTGACTGCAAGCAAGAAAGAATTGGAATTGGGGTTTTGTGGTTCTTTGTCTTACGACATTTGTGACATTTTTTACTTCCTCTGTCATTTGCAGATGTGAGAATTTCATTCTTTTAAGTCTGCATAATTTACCATAAGTTATAAGCTATTCTTTAGAGAAAGAATCTTTGGTATTTTTCTGTTACTAATCAGTACTAATGTGGTACATGGTGTGAAATTTATAAACTAAAATGTTTCATACCCTTGAGTACTATGTATTGATGGATGCCACTTTTTATCTTCACAGAGATTGGACCAGTGACAATTACCACAGATCCCAAGAAATTTCAGTATGAACTCAGAGAGCTGTATGTTCAGGTGAGCACTTGCTCTTCATTTTCTTTTTGGGGAATGGAAAACCATGAACCTTTGACTTTTCTCAGATTTTTTTCAAATCTAAAAGGAGCATTTTTTTTTCTTTTGGATGCTGGTCCTAGGGCTTGAACTCAGGGCTTAGGTACTGTCCCTGAGCTTTTTTGCTCAAGGCTTGTACTCTACCACTTGAGCCACAGTTCCACTTCTGAGTTTTTGGAGATAAGAGTCTCATGTAATTTCCTATATGGACTGGCTTCAAATCATGATCCTAAGCTCTCAGTCTCTTGAGTAGCTAGGAGTACAAGAAGCAATTTTTTGTATGTTTTTTAATTGTAAGAATGCTGCACAAAGGGGTTACAGTTACATGAGCAAGGTAATGAGTACATTTCCTATTGAGCATTGTTGCCTCCTCTGTTTTTCTCCTACCATCCCTTCCCTCCCATCTCCACAACTACACCTCACCCCCTGCCTAAATTGTGAAGTTTATTTTTTGACATAGCGTCTTGTACATCTCATTGTTGCAATGGGTCAACCTGTATCCCTATTTAAACAATTTGCTTAGCATCATTTTATATAGTCATATTTTCATAGCTTTTGGCCTTTTCTGCTTGTCCTACACATGTACTAGTTATTGAAATAAGGGAAACATGGGACCTATGTTTCTTTGGGCCTGGCTTACTTCACTTAATATAATTTTTTCCAAGTCTTTCCATTTCCTAACAAATGGGGTGATGCCATGCTTTCTGATGGAGGCATAGAATCCCATTGTGTGTGTGTGTGTGTGTGTGTGTGTGTGTGTGTGTACACCACATTTTCTTGATCCATTCATCTACTGAGGGGACATCTGAGGTGGTTCCATATCTTAGCTATGGTAAATAATGCTGTACTAAACATAGTTGTGCTGGTACCCTTAGTATGGTCTTGTTTGTGATCATTTGGGTAAATGACCCAAAGTGGGATTACTGGGTCATAGGGGAGCTCTATGTGGAGTCTTTTGAGGAACCTCCATACTGAAAAAGAAGCAAATTTTAAGGGATCTAATAGATGCCATTTCCTTTTCTTACTTGAGTACAAAATGAGTTAAACAACAGTATGGAATAAGATGGAGTGAGTTGAAAATATCACCTTCACTTATGTAGTGGCTGTGGCTAGTTTTTGTGTAACTATAGAGTTGAGTATTGTGTCTGAGATTATTTGGTGCTTTTACAGCTTATTGAGACCTTCTCTAAATGAGTTCCTTTTACTTAGAGACACAAGAAATGACTACTTATCCTCCATCTAGTAGCAATAGCGTAACCACAGCAATTTTACATCTCTGTCCATCAATTGACGGGTAAATAACCATGGAATATGCATTTGGTCTTTCTCAAACGTATAGGCAAAAGGCCCTCCATGTTCATCTCTGAACATATCTGCCTAATGCCATTTTCTTTTACGTGTGCAAAGATTCCTCTTGTGGCCGAGTGACCTGAGAGCTCCTTCCCTTCTAGTCCTATTTAGTACCACTGTCTTCCCTGGATTGTGTTTCATGGCACATTCGTCCTCCTATTTGTGTCCTTAGCTATCTTCTCATAGAGACTTTGTACTTGTTCTTACTGCACAGGGAATTCCTGTCCTTCAGCTCATATTCCTATATGTCCTCTCCTGACCTTGAAGAAAGGCTGTACTCAGATTCTCATCCTGAATACCACTTCATCCTGCCCTGTCCTCTAGCTAGCTCATACTCACTAATTCTCTCTTTCATGGAGTTTTATATTCAAGGTCTGTGTTTGACTTCATAAATCATTTAATTCTCTAGTAAAACATGCTACATGCCTGACATGTAGCATATGTCATGAATGGATGAATGAATGAATGGATGAATGAATATTCCAGAACATTTAATTTAGCAGATGTCAAAGCAGAGTTTGAAGTGTATTATGTTTTTTGAGATGGTTTGATTCAGACCTGTGTATAGAATGAGTACAATTGAGACACGGCATGTGAAATCCAAAGTTTGGTACCCTTGGTGTGCATTCACGATGGATTCTGTTTTGGCCACATAGCTCGCTCTAAATTCTCTACTGAATTGAGTTAAATTTAATAAGTAGGTAAATAGATTTACATAATTATTTCTTGACTATTACAATTCTGTTTTCCTGAAATGTTTTTGCTTATCTTTTTTTCATGAAGAATTTTCCATTTCTTTCCTCAAAGAGTGTATCATTCCTTTTCAGGTATTATCTTACTACTTATTCACTATTTACTCTGCTTCTTTGGTATGACAAATTCTTGTTATGCTGAGTGTTCAGATTCTCTGAAAATAAAAATGTAGGAATTATAGAAATGATATGGTTGTACATTATCTTTACAATAAAAATATTAAAAAAGAAAAAAAAGAAATGATATGGTAAAATTCATGATGGAACTTATTTTGTAGTTGTTCAAATCTTTACCTCTGTTTTCCTGTGAATTCCTGAGGACAAAATCCTTATAGCTCCCATGTTCCCTGCTCTCCATTTGGAGATGAACAAGCTAGTGCCTTTATTAGAGTATACTTTAGCTATTAATAAGTCATGTTCCTTGAGGTGGCTTCTTTAAAAAATGTACATTAACAGTAAAACTATATCAAATACAATTTTGACTTCACTTAATGGTACAAGAGACACTTTTCACAAACTTAATTATTAGTTTTCATTACACAGTAGAGATTCAGAAGGGCAAAGTAATGGAGATTTTTAATGAAAGGAATGTTAGGAAGGGGTCCACTAAATTCATTCTATCTTTGGTCTCTGTGAGAAGTCAGCTGGAGTATGTTCTTGAGCATCTGAACAGACTGAAAAATAGTTCCCTTCTGAGTAAGACCTGGCACCATGCTTTCTGATTTCCTGCCTTCTCTTTCTTCATGGGGAAAAATCTTCAGGGAGTGCCTCTTGTCTCTGCTCCTTTTGTCTCCAGACTGAATCCTTCTCTTCCAACTGTTCTTCAAAGATTCTTCCCTACTTCCTTCTGGTATTGCATCATCGGACACAGTCGTATAATTTTACTTCCGTTACAAAAGTAATCTTTTCCCCATGGTATTGAAGTCATGTTTGTTTCTCTGGCGGATTCCTCTGGCCAAGCTATATGGTGTTGTTATTTCGTTGTTGTTTTGTTTTATTATTGTTAAGAGGTCCAACAGAGGCTTAATCACAACATACTGCTGGGGAAAATCAAATACTTTCCCCCCCCCCTTTCAGTCAGCATTGAACACTGAATGAGTACCACTGTTGGGTGCACTGAGAATACCATGCAAGTGGTTTTACTTTCTTTTTTGGGGCTTTGATCTTGTGGTTTGAACTCAAAGCCTGGGTCATGTCCCTGAGCATTTTTGCTCAAGGGTAGTGCTCTAACTAGTTGAACCTTAGCTCTACTTCTGGCATTTTTTGGAGGTTAATTGGAGATGAGTCTCAGAGACTTTCTTGCCTGGGCTGGCATTGAACCATGATCCTCAGATCTCAGCATCCTGAGTATCTAGGGTTACTTTTCTTATAGAGACATGGATTTAAGGAAATCTAAAATTTTCCAATTTTTTTCAAAAACCAGTACACATAAATCATTAAATTTATTACATTAATTTTACATTCTTTTATCCTCTTTCATCTGGAACACAGAGAAGTAACTTGAAAGGCAAATGAACTTTCTCTCTAGGGAAAAGTAGAAAAAGACAAATGACTACAAATGATATTTAAATCACACAGAGCTTTGGGATTTAATATGCTTGTAAATATGCAAAGCAAAGTCCTACCTCGGGTCACATTCTTTATAAGAAACTTTAAAGCTTTCTGGCTTTTAGAAAATGGTATTGGTGCTGATACACTTTCAAGCATTTTATCCAACTGTTTTAGAGAACAAGAAAAATACATTAGTCAAACACTTAGAATGTAAAAAATAATAAAACAAAATAAAATCAATGCAATTCTATAATAATGGACTTGCAATTATGCCTTTTAGATGGGTAGTGAATTCTTCAAAATAAAAAGTTTCCAACATAATTTTATTTTGTAAAGTCTTTTTAAAGAAGTAAGAAGAGCAAGGATAAGTCTACCATGTACAGTCACATTAGGAACAAAATATAGCTAGGAGGAAGAAAAAGGATGGAGTATAATTACTGTCATTTCTTAACAGAAGCAGAAGAATAAATATAACAGGCTTAAGGAGCAACATGCTAAGTTTGGAGGCAAAAATGTTTTGGGGTAGATCAGCTGATACTAGAACTCACTACCAGAGGAATCTATGAAACAGGATGGCTGAATAGGCAAATCCTCTTAGAAAAGATTGGATATCCTTTATATATCCAATGTTTACTATTCTAAATCATGCTATGTAATGTCTCGTATCCTAATCATGCTTCCATATAAAATATATATATTATTTCTAGATTTATGGACTTCTATATGAATAAAAATGAAATTAAAAGCATTAAGACATGAGAGAGAGAAAGATGGCGACAGAGGGGGAGAGAATAATATAAAACAAAACAGTTAAAGCATTGAGAGTGGATTATATGTCAGCACCAATATATATATAATGTAGATGTATAAAACGTTTGATTTTGATGTTTGGAATTGAACAGGACTCAACTTTGAAAGAACAGTTTTTATTACAGATTAAGTGTTCTCAGTATAGATTTGAATTTCAAGTTTCATGTTATTCATTATACATGAAATATGTATTTGCGTAACATATATCTCTAACATAGAGTAGAAAGGAAGAATGTCCTGTATTTGCTTACTTAATTTAAGGAAGAAAGAACCATAAGGAGGTCTACTCATAATACACATGAAGGCCTCATAGTAGCAGTCATCTGATCTTAGGTCTAGGCATAACAAATGCTATCTGTTACTACTACCTCTCTACTACAGAGGTTTTTATTTTTTTTTAAAGGGGAACAGTCTCAAGATATGACACAGTTTAGCAGCCATGAATGGAACATGTGCCCTATGAAAAGTATTCTAAGTGTTTTAAAATCACTTCTCAGTATA